TTAACTTATCCTTTGAGAGAGATTTCAAATAACTAGGTTGAATGACTACCTCATCATCATGCTTTGCCATTAGACAGAGATTTGCTACTTCATCGTCTGTGTGTTCCTGTTCCTCTTCTTCGGAACTTGATTCTCCCCACGTGGAAATCATTGCTTTCCTGAAATTTGTTTTAGAAAAGTTAGGCTTGGAGTTTCTATTTTGATCAGCTTCTTTTCCCTTGCCTTTCTCAGATTCCCATAATGGACACTCTTTGATGAAGTGGTTGGTGCTTCCACATTTGTGACAAGAAGACTTGACTTTGATTCCTGATTTCTTTTACTGTATCCTTTCTTCTTATCTAAAAACTTTTTGTTACGGTAGAATTTTTTCAGCCTTCTCACCAACATTGCAGCTTCTTCTTCATCAATGTCAGACTTCTCTTCGGATTCTTCATTAGCTCTTAGTGCTAGCCCTTGACTTTTGACAGTCTCCTGAGTCCGGTTGTTCAACTGGATCTCGTGGGTAATGAGGGAACCCGCAAGCTGTTCCAGATTGAACTTGGTGAAGTCTTTTGATTCCTGCACAGCTGGGACCTTTGCTCTCCATCTGTCATTGTCTGGAAGACTTCTTAAGACCTTTCTGACCTGCTCATCTATAGGAATTATCTTACCAAGACACGTTAGTTCGTTAGTAATACTTTTAAATCGAGTAAACATGTCTTTAATGGATTCTTTGTTTCCCATTTCAAAGCGCTTATACTGAGACAAAAGAATGTCTATTTTGGAACGTTTAACATCTGACGTTCCTTCATGTGTAACTTCCAGAAGATCCCAAATTTCCTTTGCGGATTTGCACCCTTTGACACGAGTATGTTCATCGGGTCCAAGTCCCCAAATTAAAAACTTTTTATCAGTAGCATTCATTTCTAGTTTTTCGAAATCAGTTTTTTTATATTCATCCATAGGTTTAGGGATTACCTCATTGTTAGCATTCGTTTTCGTAATTTCGTAATCTCCTACTTGTATAATCTGCCATACCTGATAGTTCTCTGCTTGGATAAAGATTTCCATCTTATCCTTCCAATAAGGATAATATTTGCCGTTGAAGTATGGAGGCCTTTGAATGGATGTACTCCCGAATTCCTTTTCCTCTGTGTAAGCCATTTTCCCAGGAACTTACTCAACAGGGTTGCCTGCGTGCTCTGAGTTCCTGCTCTGATACCAACTGAAAGTCTAGCTGGCTAATACAAGAGGGGGGGTGAATTGTATTTGAGATGAAATCTAAAAACTTTTGCGGAATTTAACTAAATGAAATAATGACGACAGAAGATATAGGCTTTTCTAAATTTCCACTATGTAATCAAGCTCTTTACAAGTGAAGATTCAAACCCGTTAACAAGTTCCACAAATCAGGAACTCGTTCCCAACTCTCACAGAAGACTTCAGCAGCGAAGCTTCCTTGACCTCAACTTACACAAACTCACAATCCCAAACCCCAAAGTGCTTCAATACAATCTGTGATTACAAATACCTATTGCACTCAAGAATATAAGAAGGATAATAACTCTCTTTATGTTATTAGATGGCTACTGGAATTTTTATGCTCAAGAGTTGTGTTTTGCTGAGATAGTTTGCATGAGTATTTATAGAGAAGGCTTAGTCATTAACCTCCACTATAATCACGTCCACATGCCAACACCCCACTAACAACTTGTGGAGTTATCTTGACAGATGGTGATCAAGAAGGAGGTTTCCTAGCCTTATCTCACTAATCCACTATCTCAACAACTTGATAAACATTAGCTATGATAAAACGTATGATCAGCGATTTTCACAAAGAAAACTGCTTGCTAACTTTATCAAAAGTTTGTTTTAAAAAGATTTTATTTTAAAAAGGATTTTATTTGAAAAGATAATTTAATTATTTATATTAAAACCACTAGATAATTATCTTCGATAATTATCTTTATTCGAAATAAAATTACTAGATAAAACTTTTATAAATTATCTTTTCCCTTAAGAAATTATCTTTTAAAAATAACTTTTATTCCAGTAGTCTTAATAACATAAGTCATTGAGTTCCTTTCCGACTTTATATTATTGAGTGCTCACAATTAAAACTAGAACGTGAGATTTGCATGAGGCTTTTTAGAGAATGCTACTCCGCATCCAAGTTCCTACTCCGGAACGAACTTTGCTTGAACCCTTTATTCACCAAAGACTCAAAACGTTCATTAGTCGAGTTTGTCAATTTGTCCATCAAAACCAAAAGGCTCAACACAACCCGATGGAATGGACTTCTCCCAAACGTAGTTTGATTCCGAGGCAGATAAAAACTGCCTCGAAACCACCGATGATCGGATAACATCTTTCGGTGTTGTCAATGTAAAGTATGTGTGAAAGACATTCCACAGGAAGATCTGTTAAGTTCATATGATGCATGTTTTTTTTGGGGTTACAAACTTAATGAGAAATGGGATTGGGGAGACAATGTGACTTTGCTTGCTTGTTATATAACCCTCTAGTCACGTTTAACTTCTTTTGTTTTTTAAAACGTTGAAAGGAAAGGTGTGAAAAAGCATGTAAGGTGACAGCTCTGCCTTTTGTATAAATGTAACGTTTTGATATCCAACCTAAGCATTTACTATACATATGGGCTTGAAGGAATATATAGCCCAGCACAATAATTAACTAAGGTCTAATACATCTTATACAATTAATAAAAGAATCCCAATATTCCCAAGTAGAAGCATGCAAATTAATTATCACAATCACTGAAATCAGCATTATTTGGGTAAATAAAATTAACCCCAAATTTACTAAAAATGAAAAGAAAATTTCCGCTCTCACAATCACTGTAATCTATTAAAATTTGGGGAAAATAAACAATTTGCTTATCATATGCAAGTGATTATAAATGAACCTTTGTAGATAAAGTGGTAGGAAAGTTAGAAATATTTCAGGAAAAATTGTTAAAAATAATCCCAACTTTTGTCCGTTCGCTCAAAATAATCCCAATTTTGGATTATTTTTAAATAACCCGAATTATAGGGGTCATTCGCTCAAAATGGTCCCAAGTGACCGGCAACCTGTTAAAAAAGCCTTTTTTTTTTTAGGTTTCAGTGACATGTGTTAGCACGCTATAGGTTGAAAAATAAATAAAAAAAAAAAATCCCACACGTAACACCAGGTTACCGACAACCCCCTAGGCCCACGCAACCCCTTCGATTACCACCACCGTTCCGGCAATCCCTAGGCCCAGCCCAAGTCCCCCTGCCGGCGCCCAACCCCTCCCCTGCTCCAGCGCCGTTGATGCCCCTCCCCCAATTCATTCATGCCAATTCCTCACTTTTTGCTATCAACCCGGCCTAACAATTTTACAGCAATTTCTGGGTTAATCTTTGTTGAATCATCAATGGATTTGTGGTCGTTGTCCTTCATATGAGTCGTCGTCGTCTGGATCGCCACTGAGAATTTCTTGATCTCAGCTCAATGATGTTCTCGTTGTTGCTGCTTATGGGGAATGTTGTTCTCGTCGTCGCTGCTTGAGGGGAATGTTGTTTTCGACGTCGCTGCTTGAGGGAGGTGAGTTGCTTGTATTTAATTTAATTTATAAATGATTTTTTTGATTTGATATACTTCCTCTGTACTTTTTTTTTTGGGTAATTGGGTGGTTGTGCTGGAGGAGGTGCGGCAAGCTTCTTGTGGTGGCGATTTGGGTGGCTGCTGGGCTATTGAAGGTTGGGCAACAGTAGGTTGTTGCGGGGCTGCAACAAGGTGGTTTTGTAATGGTTGTGGTTAAGGCGTGTTTGTGTGTTTGTGGGCTGCAGCTAGTTGCGGCGGGCGGTGTACATGGGTGAATGGGTGATTGGGTGTCTGATTGCCGGTGGGGATGGAGGTTCCGGGAAAGGGCTGTGGCTGGTGGTGGAGGGTGGTCGTGAGTGGGGTTACGTTAATTTTTTTAAAAAAAAAAATATTTTAAGTTTAATTTTTAAATGTTTTTTTTAGTTTTTTTCCCAACCAATTACGTGATGACACGTGTCACCTTAACTTTTTATAACAAGTTAAGTGACTGGTTAGGACTATTTTGAGCGAATGACCCCAAAAGTTGGGATTATTTAAAAATAATCCAAAGTTGGGATTATTTTGAGCGAACGGATAAAAGTTGAGATTATTTTTATCAATTTTTCCAATTTTTTAAGGTACTTTGTTTTGGAATAATAACACAACTAGTTTAAAGCCCAGGCGATGCCCCGGGTTTTGTTTAAATAAAAATGTAAAACTTATTTTAAGTTTTAACAATATCTTGAAAACATTATCTTAAGTTTAAATAATAAAATAAAAAGTTGAAAAAAAATATGGGGATAGAAAAAAAGATGCAGTAGTATATGTTTTACGATTAAGTAGGACATTGCATAATATGCTTAAAAACTTTTAGAATCCAAGTTAATGAAAAGTTACAGCTTATAAATATTAATTAAGTGATAGAATGACATTAATTGTGGAATATAAAAACAAATAGAATAGAATAAAAAAGAATTTATTTATGGGGAATCAATGTGGTTGTCCACTTGATAGAATAATAATGGTCATAGAAGTTAGAAATTCCAAGTGTTGTGAGTGATTAAATATGGTCCAAATATGTATACGTAATGTCATATCATCATCCATGTGGCGCCATGTAATAAATCTCATTATGACATGGAGTGACACATGTCCTTAACATGTTATCCCCATGAGATTTAATAATATTATTATTATAGATTATTTTTCTTCCGTATTTTAGTTTTTAGACACGTGTATAAACACGGTTACAAACTAGTCTTAAATTCTTAATTAATACAGAGTTTGTATTCATAGTAATTAATGACCATAGTTTAACTTTTAGTGATTAATGAATTCAGACAACATTCATATCAAAATATCATTTGAAATTACCCTTTTTTTTTTTTTTTTTTTTGAAGAAATCATTTGAAATTACTTAGTCATTAATTAATAATGTAATATCGCAAGACTTGCCATTCAAAAAACCAAAGACAATACTTATTCCAATCCAAACTGTACAAACCCAAGATGACCATGAATCATCACATATTCACATCCATTAATTTAAGTAAAAAACGTAGAAATTGCACATTTAATGTTGATGAATATATTGCATCACAATGAAAAACAATCCTTTTCTTTAATAATCAATCCAAAGGACGAAGTTCAATGCCTTGAACAAGAAGACCACTCTTCCAACTAAGGTCTTCAACCTCCATCAGTGCCATCTCCAACACCACCCTTTCGTCGAAAGCCTCAACACCGGAACCAACATGATACCTGCCCATCTCTATCTCCATCCATCCGTCACCTCTTTCCACTGGCAATTCATCGGCATCCAACCAACATGTAGGTTCATCAAAGTCTTGATCCCCAATAAAATAGTGATTAGCAACTAACCTATGATCTTCATAACTTTTGGACAGCCCTTCTTGATCAGACTCTAGTACAGATGCCTTAACTGGTCCATAAAACCCGGCGAAAGAATGCACAACCTTCTGGAACACAAAATACGCGCCATAAGTTGTATCTGCGGAGAGGAATTTGATTGGTAATCGCCCTTTAATATCAAACCAACATACAGAATTCAGCTGAGCAGTCTCAGGAAACCTATAAATTGACAATATATGTAATTCAACCCCATTATATTGTGTCATTTTATCATAAAAACTTGTAAATTAACAATTTCATGTCATAGAATCAAAGTTAAGCATTATCATGCGTTTGTATTGAAAGAAAAAGCGAAAGAGAAACCTCGATTCAGGGATGAATCTCCAACTCCAGTATGCAGGGGTTTCTCCCCACGCGATCATCAGCATTCTTGCACCAAGCATGTAACATTTTTTGCCACTACTTTTGTCCAAGGCAAAACTCTAAATTATGCAACAAAATTGTTACAAGTCTACATATATAGTTTATCAAGGAATAATAATAGTACAAGAAGTATGTGGATTGGAAATGGATCAAGGAAAAGACTATTACCTAATTGTATATAAGTATAACTGATTTGTTAAAAGTTTAAAGCTGAATAGAGGATCCTGATGATTAAGTATTAGTTGTAGTACCAGAAGTTTTTAATTAAATGATTAGTTAGCTAGAGCAATTTTGAAACAGGGGAAATGAAAAACAAATATGTAATAGTTTTGTGTTAGAATCTGTCCTACACTCTTGGACAATGAGTCAATAACACTTTGTACTTAAAGCTTAAAAGTGAAAATAAAAAATTCACTAACATTTACAAGATCATATTAATGTACTCCCTCCTCTGTCACTTAATAGTTTTTCATTTGGTGTTTTTCACGAGAATTAAGAAAGTTTGAAAATTACGTATTCAACAATGCTTTTTCATACATTAAAACTTGTTTCACCATACATGAAATACTTTTGCCCCATAAAAATATGTTTCCACAAACTTTTATTCAATGTGAGCATGGTGACGGAGGGAGTAGTTTGTAGGACGGACTATGGAGTATTGATTTAATGAGCACATTATGAAGACATTGTATAACATTTGGGCACAGGTTGATTAGTTATTCATACAAGATTCTGATTAACACTTCTTCCATTTCTTTTCTATTGTTACATCTTCACTTTGGTGGTAACCGTTTTAAACCTTTGACTATAAAATACATTATTATAAAAATTAAAATCATATTATATGTGAGGTTCGCTTTGTCCTGAAAAGAATTTTCAAAATATCAATTTCTTAGAATTTTACTCAAATCATGTTGAATATATACGTGATCAAAGATGTTTATTGGAAACGGTTAAGATCAAGGTGTAACAATAAAAAGAAACAAAGCGAGTATTTGAAGATTTAACTATAGAACTATTAAGCATAAATCAACCCTAATAACAACCATCATAATTGATAACCGTCAATAAAATCATTACTCTATAAAGCAAATATAATAATGATTTTCTCACTTTTTTCACAAATTTTGGGTAAAACTGTGTATTTTACATTATTGTTTTAACTATACTCCATAAGATTGTCATTGTTACCTATAAAAGTATATATAGAAAACTTACCCTTATCAAATGAATACTAAGATCTACAAATTAAATTAAACAAAAAAAAAAAAAAATTACCTGAGTTTTATTGTCGAAGAGTATAGGAAATTGACAAAGAGAGAAAAAAAGATCTTTTTTAGAAGCAAATTGTTGTTGATCAATTGGAATTGACGATTGAGATAAGAAGTAATCACAATCGGACGGCAGAAAGTTGTTCCAAATGGCATCCGATTTCGACGCCGATAAAAAGTCCGTCGAAACGGCTGATGATCGGACGACATCCCTCGGCGAAGTCAACGACAATATGTGCGAAAGACATCCCACAGGTAAATCTAATAAGTTGTTACAAGACATGTCGTCTATTTTTGGGAAGTTACTCAGTTCGAGAGATTTTGTCTTTGATAGTATGCTTGCTTTCATCAGCTTTTTTGGGTTTTTTGTTAAAAAAAAATTTAATAAAAATACAATAGTTGGTTAGAATTGGTAAGAGCTCATTATTAAGCTAAACACGATATGAGAGACAACACCTTTTAAATACACTCGGGTGTATATAGAGGTAAGTGCATCCAAGGATAATTTATTTTTTTGTTCATTTGATATTTACTTAAAATGAGTTAATGAATAGAAAATATGTAGTGAAACAAGCACAACACTGAAATGATGTGTGGGAAGAGTTGTGCATAAAGCCATAAAGGTGTCAATTTAGATAACTGGATCGAAATATGTAAGGTCGAGTCGGAAAGGTTTTCCATAAAGGTGTTAATTCGGATAAATGAGTCGAATTCAATAAAGTTGGATCGGAGAGGGTTGCGCATAAGGTGTCCCATGTACTCATATCGTAACTAAAAAGATTTTCTTTAGGGAAAAAAAGACTTTTTATTTAAGGACGAAAAAAGTAGGAATATTATTACCAATTCAAAATAACTACGGAGAATGTGCTATTTTCTCAAAAAAAAAAAAAAAAAAAAAAAAAAAAAAAAAAAAACAAAACTATGTGCTCCAGTACCACCAGCCCGTGAAAAAAATAGTGCTAAAGCCCAACACCCTTTATTCTTATGGGCTTATTTAAAATGTACTCCGTACTAGAACTGAATAAGATTTACGGATTATTGGTTAGAAATTTTTATAGCTTGATTTGGTATGCTTTTTCCAATCCTTTTCAATTCACTTGTTTTCATTGAACTTAATATATTATATTTGTACACTTATATGAAAGTAAACACATATTTAAGTGGGGTTTTTGTTAGGTATTTCTTCAAATGTACTTCATATTACCTAAATATCTAATTTTCATATTTTTTTATAAGAAATTTCATGTATTGGCAATAAGAAAATTAAATAAAAAGACATGGTCTTGTCTGTTTTTTTTTTTTTTTTTTATTTATATATTTTTTTTTATTGTGAGCTAATTTGGTTTGTTGTAATAAGAATAAACAGTAAGTTAGTATTATCATTATTAATCGATACTCATATTTTAGATACACAAAAAAAAAAAAAAAAAAAAAAAAAAAAAAAAAAAAATCTAAAATTATACTTCGTAGTTCATATTAGAGTATAGTCCAATTGTTATATAGGTGATTTGTAAATTGAGTATGTTTCATCATTCTTCATTAAACTGAAATTTTGTTAATATTGAATTTAATTGAGAGAAATTAAGTACTGTAGTTAATAATTGTTTATATTGAGTATTTATTAATATTTCCAATTATCATAAAAATGTTCTATAAAAAGCTAACACCTTTAGTTAAGGATTACCTCGGATAAAGAATAATGCTTTTAACGTAAGCATGGTATGTCAAGAAACACAATGGTGATTGGCAAGAGTCAAGGAGGTGAAAAGGAACAGGAAAAAGTGCCTTTAATTTGGTGCTTCTATTCTTGAGCTCAATATCACACCTCCCCACCCCTTTTTTCCTCCGGAATCTCCCTTTTGCTCTGGCTCTACAAACTTTGCTTTTTAACCAAGTTTAAATTGATGCTATTAAGCTAATTCTATCATGTACGTGCGTGTAAATGATAATTGTCGCTCTATAAAACTTTACCCGACTATAATATATTTTGTACGTAATTGACATCCATTAATAATAAACTAGTTCTATAGGCCATATTAAGGCGAGTTAAAGACAAATCGACAGATACATCATGGTGCTAATTGACTCATTGTATCTATAAAATTATTAAACAGGATTGGAAAAGTGAATGAACAATGGTAATGTTTGAAATCCCATATTATATCTTATGCTTTATGTTAAACAAAGCTTGACAACCTCACTTACAAGGCAGAAAATTCTTGTTTTTGGAAGTTGAGAATATAATTGAAATTAGATTGCAAAACTTACTCCAACAACACTTTGTATATATAAATGGGCTTTACCGCTATACAATGTGAGGATCAAAATTAACTAGAGACATAACATATGAGTCTCTAAAAACCAAATTATCAAATGCAACCAAGAGTTCTAAACATGATACTCATATTCTTGGGAGCGCGAGGAGGTTGTCCTCCACGCGGTAGCACGTGACAGCCACATGCTGTGTTATGCACGACTATGCTATTAACACTTTAAAAGTACATACATTTGTTCCGATGCTCAGATATAAGCTTGATAAAATGGATTCTTAAGCTAATAGAAGAAGACAGAGTAAAAAAGACTTAAATACTACTTGTATAATAGTGAAAAGTGCTCTTTATAATTAGGAAATTCCTAATTAATATTGGCCTTTAAACACAGGGTCTCACGTAATGGAAGTGGGTGTAATGGGGCATCATTTCTTTATGCTTCCAGCCTTGATATGTTGATAAAGTAAAGGTTGAATGCTTGCATCTTTGAAATGGAAATTCAAAAAATTTCAGAATGTATTTCTAAAACATTGTACAAATTTCTATACTAATTTAATTTGCATATTATAGTGTAAATGCTACAATTTTAACTCGATTCATCACCAATTTACCATTTAACATTGATTAAACATTACACATTATATTTACAAGAAAACGTTCACAACCATTATAAACCCGAACTCCTTCATAAATCATACTCATACAAATCTTTTACTCCTAGTGATACAATCAAATGTTAGTAGAAACTATAAAGTAAAAAGTACAATTAAATCTCTATAATAATACTACAGAGACAATACAACACCAATCTCCCTGGCATCCAAAAATTTGCCCCCACTTTTTTTGTTCTTCTTCTCCTAATTTCAATCCTTTTGTCAGGCAATCAATTTCAATCCCCAAACAAACAAAAGTCCTTTTTTTGACCCGTTTTTTCAACCCACTTTCTCCTCTCCCAATGTACATATAGTACCCTACATTATTTGGAGACCCAAACCCTTTTCAAACCCACAAATACTCTTTTTTTTTTCCCCGCTAAAAAAGTCTCCCTTTTTCTTCCCTATAAATCTAAATAAATTGCATTTCTCTATAGGTATAAATATTTTTCTAAGCAAAAGATTTGGAAAAAAGTGAGAAAAAAATGTTAATAAATGTCTAGATTAATCGATCAGACAAACTTGGTAGCCTTCTAAAGAAGTTTAGACTAGTTGGAGGCATTGGTTCTCTAAACATGGGATGCCTCAAAAAATAAAACCCAAGTGCTACGGCAACCATTTTTGGGGGTACTGCATATAGTGTTATTGTTATCATAAAACATACCCCTATAAATAGTTTTGTAGCCCTCGGGTCTCGCCAACTTACTAATGCTTGGGCTCGCTCGCCTTGGGTCGCTAAATCCCCCAACACGGTTTGAACCCGGGCTGCCAAGATTCGCAACCGATCATATCGAACACGGATTAAGTCTGGTGGGGTTGAACTTGGGACCGTGTCGAATTCTTCGTCGAGGTCATCCGGGTCGACAGTTTCCGCTTGTGATAATCGGGTATCCATACCCGCGGGTATTTTGGGTCGAAACCGGTAATACCATATTCCCATTAGGAAAACATAGAGGAATCCCGTTGGGACTATTAAGTCAGGATACCAAACTAGGACCAAATAAAGAATGTGAACCAAAATTGTGGTTAATGGGTTCCTCCATCTTCTTATATGGTTTAACCACTTGGCTAACCCGATTGCCCAAGCGAGCACGGCTACGATCCGAAACCAATTAGCTTTGCTTTTCCTCATGCTCCAAGTATGTGAGTCTGCATCTAACATGTACCTGACTACTTCAGGCCCAAGGGGTGGCTCGGAACGGGCTAACCAAGCTGCTACCATCTTAGTGGCAGCCCCGCGAAGAGCCTCTTGTTGGGCCACCCCAAGTGGGCGGAGATAATGCATCCGCGGAAGTAGTGGCTGCCCATAGATACCACACGTATCCGGCAACATAGACGGGCAAACGAATCGAACCGCCAACTCAATTTCACCCATTTTCTTAAGCCCAGTTCGGAGCAATACCAAAAGAGGATAAGAATTAGTATACACCTTGTTACTCTCCAATGTAGACACCCGAATACGAACCTTACCAATCCGATAGTCCGGTTTCTCCTCCCCCGGGTCTGTAAACATCCGCCAATTATCAAATACTCCGATCGTTAACACGGTACACGGGTCATAAACCTGCCACGTGTACTGCTCATTCCATCTCGGATCAAAACTATCCGTAACCGTCCGGGTCCGAACCCATTTCTTACCATACTTAGCCACACAATAAGCGTCAGTAGAGCCCTTACCCGGACCCTTAGTTTTCATCGGAAGCAACCCACGTGCCCCAAGAACACCAAGCTCTAATACCCCAATAGGAGGCTTCCACAACTGCTTCGCCGTCGGCCGGTAATCGCTACACACGTGAGCCGCCTCATCAAGCACGTGATACCCACCTTCTAAACACAACCTTAAAAGAACCCTCCCACAGTAGGGCCCATCACCACCCTCCAAATTAACCCATTTTGCAGCCACGTGTCGCTCATCGATTCGCTGCTCGATTGACCCCACAGGAATAATAGCGTGGCCTAAAAGCATGGGATCCTTACTAGTCCTATCTTCAACCAACAGAATCAATTGCTCTTCCAAAGGTTCCCCTGCAATTAAAATCAAGTCCTCGTTAAAGTGCACCGCGGCTCCACCGTGAGCACTCATAGACCCGCGTCTCGTCCTCAGAGATTGAAACCCCAACTGTGCTTTAACCCGAATCTCCGGCGCCGTCAATGGAGGGAGGTTCGGCGGAATGTGGAGGTCTTGAGCCTCAATCACCGTCACCCGGAGGTACCATAGTTTCGGGGATTGGTATACCTTAGCACGAGTGTAAGAAACATTCGGCTGCTGCGGAGGTGCATCGGATATCCACGCTTCAGGGAACGCGTCATCAGCTTGGGTTCCCAGCCAAACCGCAAGCTGTACGTCCCCTGAAACGCCCTCCCCTCCCTCCAGACGATACCATTGCGGGGCCAGCGGACTATCAGGCGGGTCCCGCACTGGCACGTCTGAGAGGTCGAAGCAGACCCCTCCTAAGAATCTCTCCGTTGCCGAGTCCCATATCGAGATTTCGAGGGTCCCGGCAATGGAGGGTGAGGGAGAGGAGATAGCAAAGGTCTCCTGCCACTCCGGGTTCTCGGGAGGTTCACCTGGACGATAGGCAGCAGGTTTTGTACAGAGTGGACGAGTGGAGTTTGTTCGTATCTTGATGTATGGATTCTCATTAGGTGTTAACCCACGAGCCTTCACGATTTTAACATAGAGGTATTGCATTGGCTCAACTAAGTCAAATGCTGATATCTTCTCTGTTTCAGGAACAAATTTACCAGATATAACTCTAGGAGCAAACTCACCCGGGTTGGCTCGTTTATGAGCCGCAGCCATTCGCCTTATAATCTCTGGCGGAGGACCCTGCATTTCTGGCGGAGGATGGTTGTGGTGAGGGTGGTATTGTTCTTGCTGTGGTGGCGGGTATCCGTCATGATGGTGGTGGACAATCGTTTCGGTTGTCGCACCACCTTGATGTTGTTGTTGAGGAGGACCTTGACCTTCTTCCACCACCATCCCTTGAGGTGGAGGACCATGACCTTGAGGGTAAGGACCATTCCCAGCTGCTTCCATTGCGACATCGGTCGGCATTGGTGGAACAACCTCTACCACTCTGCCTTGCTCTTCTTCCCTTCTTTGTTCGGGTTGGACCTCCGCTATCTCAGGAGGCGGAGGTCCGCCTCCTCCGCATTCGCCTTGCGGAGGAGGTACCTCAATAACCTCATCAAAGTAATAAATTCTCAACCCAAGCTCCCCTTTAATCCAACTAAACACACTCTTCTTCTCTAAAGGAAAATACACCAGCCCTTCATCACCTCTCCTTGAAAATTGCGACCCATACAACTTCACCCTCCCTAGGAAATGATTCTTCCTAGCTGCACCCGAAGGCGACATTCGCTTATCATGATACACCTCAACATTAAGCTCCTCGAAATCCATCGTATTCGGGTCCGAAACAATGAAGTCCAAGGGCTCATTCCAAGTCGGGTTAAGGTCCCGGTACTTGGTAGTAGTCCTCTTTCTTTGCCCATCAAAATCGACCACCACATACGGGCTTGAACTCCCTTGACCATCCTTAGGGAGCAAGTCTCGAGCATCGATCACCTCGACAATTAATCTTCGTACGAGTCTTTGCTCGACGGCATTTGCTCCCTGAGGGTCATTCGCATTTTGAGGTGGTGGTGGTGGTGAGCTCATAACTTCATTGTAATGAACTTATGATATCCTCTTTTTTGTAAGGTTAGACAAGATTGCCGTTGATAGCGGGGAGAAAAACAACACAATTTTTTTCTTTTTAGGAATAAGTGATGGTGGTAATAATTCTAGTAGTGGTGTTTTGTTTTTGTTTAATTATTTATGAGTTCTTGTTTTTCTGGACTTTGGGTTTCAAATAAGTGTATAAGCGTGTTCAGATTTGAGGGAATGTTTTTTTGGGTTATTTTTTTTCAGATTCTATTCTTTTCTTGAAGGTTTTATTTGTCTAATGTATGTCTATAGGTATTTGGGCCTTTTTATTAATTTATATTTACTGTATAATTATTTATTCATGTATAATTATTTAATTTTATTTATTCATATATAATTATTTAATTTTATTTATAATAATTCAGGTTCCCTCCTTTTTGGTTTTGTTATCAGCTTCCTTCCCTTTGATTATGGTTTCATGATTTGCTAAATCTGTCTTTTTTAGTACCGTCTGTTGGGTTTCTGTCTGAATTTTATTTATTATAATTCTAAAATGAAGGTCATAAAGTTAGATTGCGAAATTAAACATAATTAAGTAATAGGGTGTGAGTTAGGATTGTAATGTAAAGGGTAACAGTACATGACAATAAGGTTCGGTGGAGGTCTAGATGTACGCAAGTTTAGTGCTAATGTAGACTCGAAGCTGGTAGAGTAACACGATTAGCAAGATTCTTAGTTTAATTAATTTGTTCTCCTGATGCAGTAGGAAAGAATTTGGGGAAGATTGAAGATTACACAACTAGGAAGTGATATGCTATAGGAAAAGGTTCAGATGCCCTGTATGTGCAATTGTGCAAAGCATATGATTCCACCTCAAAATCTTAGGGCTATGAGTAAGCTTGATTTCTTCTTTTTTATTTTATGTTTTTGTGAAAAGCAACCCTTAAAGATTTTGAATAAAGGGGTTTTTTCCAAGTGCAAAAGGCATCTCCTTTTATTTTTGTCATAGATATGTTCTAATATTCTTCTGAAAGAAACTTATCATTGTCAAATACCTTAACTTTTTCTGGATTATGTTATTGGCCTTTGAATTGTATCACGTCATGACAATTCGTTTATTTTTGCAATGAACTAAAGATGCTCCCATCTCCCTTTACTGTTCCGCATTGATTTTCCTTTAATTAATACTCTTGAGCATGACCAAATTGATGACTAAATGCATTATATGTACTTCTAAGTCCTATATGTATGTCCCAAAACAATATATAGTCATATCTAATGGAATTAGAGCTCTAACATAATAAGATGACAGTATTGATGAATTCTGTTAATAACCAGTTTTTTTTAAACTGGTAACGCGCTCTCTTTGTATTCTGTCAACTTCTCCCTGCAGTAAGTAACAAAACTAGCCACTTTAGTTGTGTTTTCTGTAGGCTAAAATATGCATAAATTAAGTTGAGAAACGATTGCTAAGAAGATGATTTACATAATGTATTATACAAATATTTAGGATTACAATGTGTGCTTTTCATCTCAACTCCGAAAGAAGCTTCTTTATTTTCTGATGCTCCAAAAATAAGGACACCTTTTTCCTGCAGTGGATTTCTGAAGATTACAGAACTGTTTATTGAGAATCAGATACTCCATAAATAGGTAAAATAATTTTATGTTTTCAATCATACATCAATAACGAATTGTTAGTGGACCAACTTAACCAAAAGCTTAAGCTGATGGTTGAGGCCTAGAAATATGTTTTATACTCTGAATAGTTATTAATTTTGAAGCATGTACTCCGTATATCTTTTCTTTTCATTGTCATAACAGCTAGCTAAAATTCCATACAAAGGGACTGATGTACTGTCAATCTGCCATACAAATATTATGATGAATGACATAAAACTTACATCGCTTTTATTTAGCTGCAATGTTTTCTCTTTGATGAGTATGCGGAGAAAGATCGAATATGTTTTGTCAATACACTCATTAGCACCACTTCATTTATACTTCGGATATATCTTAAAGCTCTAACATTCTATGTATAACGTCATATGTTAGACAAATACAGTATGAATCCGAAAATAGACAAATACAGTATGAATCCGAAAATATTTCAGGTCTAATAAACACATCTTGAATATTGTTCAAGCAAACAATCAATATAATTTATAAAGAAGAAGAGCAGAAACAGAACTTTTAAGTTGATGATGGGTGCATTTTGTGAGACAGTAACACCCCAAGTGTAAATGATATAATGGATGCTAAAAGAATCCCTTTGTTCTCAGCAATCCTCCCTAGTACAGATGCCTTTGAACTTTTTTCCTCTTGATCACCGCCTTTTTTTGGTTCTTTGTTTCCTTCTTCTTTAGGAGGGCTCTTGAATGGTTCCTCTTTCTTCTCTTTGGTGTCACCAGACTCACCACTTACTACAGAATTGTCAGGTTCTTTGTTTTTAGTAGCTATTTCTTTCTGCTCATTGGTGTCGCTGTTTGATGCACGGCTATCATTAGCATCTACAATTGCCGCCCCATTGGTACCGTTATTTGGAGTTGGACTCTTAGCTTCTTTGTTAGATTCTACTGGTTTACCTTCCTTGATTGAACCTAAGGAAGGAATGAAGGATGCTTCCTTGCGATTCTCTGTTTCGCCGTTGCTAGGAGCAGGACTCTCGCTTGGAATCATATCAGATTCGGTGGTATCCTTGGTAGCCTCCGGGTTGATGTTGTTAGTTGAAGTTCCATCTGCACTACTCGGTTTATTCTCTTCCGAATTAGCCACCTTTGGGATACGTACTCTGAGTGTAGCTCCGTCGAATATCTTTTTTATGTTGTTAACGTCTCCATCTTCTGGCACATTGAAGGTCTTTTCAAAATGCTCTTGTTTCTCATCACTTACCTTTCTCCTTCCGCTAACTACTACGATCCCAGATTCGTCGACATTCAGCTTGATGTCGTCTTCATTAAAACCTTCAAACAAAATATATGTTCCAAAATTGTAAAATTTGCTCATGCAAGATAACTATATGTACTAGACATAACAAGTTAACTTTATGTGTATGTGTACATAACAAGAATTTGACATGATAGCTAAAATATAATGTACAAATGAATATTAAAGTGCATGAATTTGTCTAACCAGGAAGATTAACGAGAAGGCAATGAAATCCAGGAAAGTCATTAGTCCACCCTGAAGATGGGTTGATTTCTTCATCTACCGGACCACGGCGAGGAACGGCTATCCTAGGCGTAGTCCATCTTCGCCGTGTAAAATCTGCCATATTTTCAAGTGTTGAAGGAATACCTTAGAAGCAACCGCGATTTTATGTCTGTTTTATATTTTTGAATTGTATGATTGCGATGGATGTGTCAATGTTATATACTCGTCGTACTAATACTAAATATGGAAATGGGAGAAAAGTGTTTGGGTGCACTTTTAAACATGCAAGTTTTTAATTAAGAGAAGTCTTTACTTGTGGTTTTATACATTGCTTTATACCAAGCTTTGGGTTTGAATACTGAAGTCTATTGCAAAGGAAATGGGATGATTCTTTGCTTTTTAGACTTCTTGTAACAACTTCTTTCTTCAGCTAATTATCAACAAATACATGCATTTCACCTGATTTTGAAAAAACAATATATTAGTCTTATGAAACTCATTTCACATCTTAATTATACGATTATGTGATGACCTTTTTTCTTGATTTCCTCCTATTTGGCTTGATGGTACGAGTTTATCCTAATCATGTTGCAATTAATTTCAAATGAGCAAATAATAAAAACTCTAATGTCGCGAAATTCTCAGATGAGCCATTAATTTACAAATAGAGTTAAAGAGAATTAGTAATTCATTATCCATACGTCAAATGAATAAACACAGATATCTTAATTTCTCATAAATATGTTGGTTCACCTTACACGTGCTACAACTATTGACTATTGAGTGTAAATAATCTGGCAGCTAGATTGTTAAGTATTTTGAAAAAAGTCTTTAGAATAGAGTTAGATATTACATTATATTGTAAGAAAAAGTAGATTATGAAAATTTTATAAAAATAATTATCAAATTACTCCATCTTTATATCGATTAAGCACATAGGTAATGATTTTTGTGAGAAAATATTGTACAAGTATGATCAGTTGTTAACGTGTGCCCATTGTTACATTAGAAGATCCTTAAATCAATTTGGGATGTTTAGTAATCTTTTGTGGTGCCTTCTTTAAACAAGAGGCCATATATATACTGACGCCAAATGTCTAAATTTGCTAAAATTGGAGCAAAAAATGTACATATTTTTACCACCCTTTATTAATTTATCTGTTTTTTTAACTCCCTAATTTCTGTCACATGTACACATTTTTACCACCCGTTGTTATTTTTTTCTGTTTGTTTAATTCACCAATTTTTGTCACAATCACCTTTCTTCACTCCCTGCTTCCCATTTCCTTTCCTTCCTTGTTTTAGAATTTCTTTTCTTTATACCACTATTTTGCAACTGACGAAAATGGAACTTCAGAATAGATTAAAAACACCCATAAAAAAAAAATTTAAAAAAAAAAAAAAAGAATACTTCGTATTATTCAAAAAAGGAAAAAAAATATTGGTAGGAGATAAAAGAAGGCAAAAAACATAGAAGAAAGAATGGCAAAAGTTAAAATAATATGTATGTTGTTGTTCATGTTTGTTTCAATCATCCTTCCCCTACACGTACAGGCTAACATTGGTGATTTCGACGACCATTGGAAAAGTCGAGAGCAACAAGCAAAGATGAATGCAGCTAAGGCTTATGATCCCAATCCACAAGAAGCTTGTCACACGCTTAATAAACAAGTTCATGAGTATGTTATTACCATCCACCTTTCATTTCTTACAATATGCTCTACACATTTCATTTTAGGGGCATAGAGACCCAATAAATTTCAAGTCTAGACGCGATGTCTAAATCAGAAGTCTTTATAATTTGGATGAGAAGTCGATATTGGATCCCCTACAATAGACAACGACCCAATCTAACCCGTCCTTATAGATGGCTTCATCGCCTTTTTGCTGTGCTACAAGAATAATTTTTAAAGGATCATCTCAACCAACAAAAGATTAAGCTGATGGTTAAAGCCGGTTTATATACTTTATCACGCCCCCTCACATGAGAGTCCAATGGGCTTGAAGTGTGGATGTAGCATGGACTCCACTATACCTAACGTTTAATATTCTATTCGGCTATTCCACTTTGAAAGGAGGGGTGGATGAGCTTCGAACCCATGACCTTTGTATCATGCTCACTCTGATACCATGTTAAAGAATTATCTCAATCAAAAGTTTAAGTTAATGATTGAAGCCCAAGATCAGTTTATATATAGTTATATACTCTATCAACTTATACAAGAAAGTAAAACATCAACAAATTTATTAAAGGATTTTCTAACACTTGTCCAAGGCTGAAAATTTTATAGTGGTCGTTTGAAATATGACTACCATAATGTTTTAATATAAGACTAAGTATTAGTTAAAGTAATTATGATTATATGTTTGATGACACAGGAATTTTCATGAGACAAGCAACAATAATATAAGGAGCGGCTTAGGAAAGTATGATGGTCATTGCCTAGCCGCGAACCCTATAGACCGGTGTTGGAGATGTGACAAGCACTGGTCCATGAACCGTCAAAAGCTAGCTGATTGTGCTCGAGGGTTCGGTCACAAGACCACCGGGGGCAAAAATGGAAGAATCTATGTTGTGACCGATGACTCGGACGGTGACCTACTAAACCCTAAGCCAGGAACCCTCCGCCATGCAGTCATCCAAGATGGACCACTTTGGATCACTTTCAAGCATGGCATGGTGATTAGGCTAAGTGAAGAGCTCCTCGTTTCGAGCAACAAGACGATAGATGGCCGTGGAGGGCACGTACACATAGCCGGCGGGGCTGGGATAATGTTACAATATGTGGATAATGTGATCATACATAGTGTACATATACATGATATTAAGAAGGGAAATGGAGGGCTTATTAGAGATTCTATGAACCATTTCGGGTTTAGGACTGCTAGTGATGGTGATGGTATATCTATATTTGGATCTACTAATATTTGGATTGATCATGTTTCTATGTCTAATTGTATGGATGGTTTGATTGATGCTATTGAGGCTTCTACTGCTATCACCATCTCCAATTGCCACTTCACTGACCACAATGATGTAAGTATACACTCCCCATGTGCTATATGTTTGGTTATACAGGGAATCACATAGGCCAATAATGTAAACAAGATTCAATTTTATGTCTTTTGTTTTATCTACAAAATATTACAAACTACAATATAATACTAAAATCTAGGATATGACCAGTAAGTGTTTAGTCAATTGGTAAGATAGCAGCAGTTCTAGCTTTACCGAGGTCTCAGGTTTGAGACTTGGGGACGTAACAACAACTAGTTTCGTGATTAGAAATTTTGAATTATCATAACATTAGTAACTAAATGCATGAATGAAAATAAGTAAATTTAATGATATATTTATAGGTGATGTTGTTTGGAGCAAGAGATGGTAATACATTGGATGAATTAATGCAAGTAACATTAGCTTTTAACCATTTTGGGAAGCGTTTGATACAAAGAATGCCAAGATGTAGATATGGGTTCTTCCATGTTGTTAACAATGACTACACTCACTGGGAAATGTATGCCATTGGAGGAAGCCAACACCCTACTATCATTAGTCAAGGCAATCGCTTCATCGCGCCTCCTAATCTCTTTGCTAAAGAGGTAACATTACGTCGTAGTTCTATCAATACATGCTTATGCAATATTTTACCTTAAAATGGATATAACCTAAAGTTTTTGTTAATGATAAAATGATGGTGAATATAGGTGACTAAGAGGGAATATGCACCATATAGTGAGTGGAAGAATTGGCTATGGACGTCGGATGAAGATATAATGTTGAATGGAGCTTTCTTCAATCAATCTGGAGATAAATCAAATAAATTCTCCTACACTAGGCAAGACGTGATCAAAGCAAAACCCGGAAGTTATGTCAAGCGTCTCACACGCTTTGCTGGTGCTCTTAATTGTAAGGAAGGCAAAGCATGCTAAAGTCGCGCTTCTTAGCTTCAATAGCTATACTTTTTTTCGCCATCCATTAGAATAACTACTGGGGTTAGCTACTCTAATTTGAGAGCAATGGGAGACGCTTAAACATAAGTTGATTGTACTTAGTCGCATAGTTTAGCTTTGTCCCCCTCTTTTTATGTGTGCTTCTTGCTTTACAAATGGAGGCAAGAACAAGGAGAAAAATGCAAGGAATCTAGTAGCAAGGCAATGTTTTAAAACTAATATGTATATCATGATTATGTTCCTTGAAGAAATTTTGGTTTTGAAAGTACAAATTGCATAATATACTTGCATACATTCGTGCGAATCATGTGTGTGCTTTACCAAAGTGAACCATAAATCGAGTCTTGTAGTTCCTTCAATATGCAGAGCATAACTTGAAATTCCTTCAATATACAGAGCATAACTTGAATCAAGTAGTTGTTCTAGCAAATGAAGTTTGATCATTAAAAAGAGGCTCACTTCATATCTAAGTAACTGGATGTCATACTATCACAATACTAATAAAGTTCCACAACTCGATATACCCTTCATGAGGAGGGTATCCTAATGTTTTTTTATTTTACCTTCTTTAAAAAAAAAATAAAAAAAAAAAAAAAAAAAAAAAATGGGGCTTCAATAGGATCATCATTTAAGGTAATATGTAAAACTTAAATTTTTTACTTATCAAATTTAGATTAATGACATCATTTCTATTTAATAAGAACAAAATAAGAGAAATTTAGGACAAGTTAATGAGCATTTGCACATTGTTAAAAATGATACCATACAGTATCGTTTTTTGTTGGTTTTACCATTCGGAAAACCTCATTTTATGTCTTGCTCAAATGATCTTTTATTACACATGATTACAAGCAAGCCTTGCAAAATTGGCAATACAATGTTATACAAGGGAATAAGCATATCCCATCCAAAGGGGCAGCATCGGGAAAAATGGAAACTAACTACAAAACTGTATACGACACATCAGTCCTCCTCTGCATTAAGACCACCAATACGATGCCGCCTCCTGTCAAAAACAGCTCTGAAGGACTCTTGCTCTGCACGCTGCCTCTCTTGAAACATGGTATGCTTCTTCGTCTCTCTAGATTTTCCGGCTGTTGCTTCTTCCTTAGGTAGTGGATTTGACTTCTGCAGAATATTAAGGCAAAAAGTTATAATAGTTCTAGCAAAAAACTATTTGTACTATTAAATACAACACAACTAAATTGAAGTCCTTTAAAGTATTCGATGAAGTTGAACTTGGAAACCCACCAAGTTGTAACCTGCACCAGGGCCAATGACTAATGACACCAAATTTGCTTTCTTGACAGCACCAATGGAAAAACCAGTATTGCCACCCTATAACACAGCATTTATCCAGTTAACAAGGAAACAGAGGTCGACATATTTTAGCATGCAGCAAGTCAGCAAACAAGCAACCCAAAAAATGGAAAGAAATCTACATGTAATAAGCAAAGCAAGTATAGAAGGAATCCACAAGCAATAAGCAAAACTCCAAGCATGGAAGACTTGGAAGTAGATCCACATTAGAAAATTGCTAGCATGTCATTGACAAAGCAGGTTTGCAGCTTTCTAAGTGATCGTTAGATAAGTCATGCATGGGAATGACGAATAAGGAACAAATATTAGCAACTCCTCTCGATTAAATCTATCAGCATAACTCAATATACCCCACAATCACAATTCTTAGGGAAAATCCTTGGAAGGACATGTCAAAAAGAACCATCGAGTTCGAGAAACAGCATCACATTAGGAGAGGAGAGGAGATTGTAACTTCCTTTCCCCATTGTTCTGCCAACTGAGTCAAAGGCGAAAACATAAAATAGAATCTTAACATTCAAACTACCGAACAAAATCAGGTGATCACAAATAAATATAACCATGGAAACACAGTTTGTCAAAAGTTACAGAAAAAATTAAGATATTGCAGAACAAACAAGCACGATATGGTAACAGCTACTACTCCCGAAAGGTTCAACTTATCACAAATGAGCCATCAAAGTTTAACCAAAAGGACACCAAAATAACCATTTAATGGTTGACGTAGACCTTTAAATAACTCCACTCTCGAGATAACACTTCTGATTTTCTGGAGTATAAATATACAAATGTAAAACATGGACAAACTTTGATTTCACTCTCGAAAAATGAAAGACAGTGCAGAAGACAACTATACACAACGTCACAACCACAATATACAAAAGTTGAAAAGTGGAAACCACTATGCATGACTGCAGAGTATAGACCAATTGGGCAATTACAGATCAAGCATGTAGATACATGGAAAGACGAAAAGAAATATAGCATACCTGATCTCCCCAGTGAACAGATTTACCTTCTCTCCCATATGTTCTGACCAATCCAGACAAAACAGTGGCCTTGCCCTTCAAAACTTGTTTTATCTCATCATCGTCATCATCCAAATTGTCTGACCATTTACTACGTCCTAAATCTTTGACTTCTTCTGTTGGATGATCAACCTGGGAATCCCAGTTCCTCTCATCCTTTTGGGAAACTGTATTTTGAAGACCAAAACTTAACCACATACCCTTCCTCTCTATTCACGATTTTATGTTATACAATTGATGTCACTTCCAAAATGATTATAATGCTTGAAAAGTTGCAAGAATTTCTAAAAGCAAGTCATGGCAATATAGTCCTTTACCCTCTAAAAAATCTTCAACTTTTAATGAGTGACCCGGCGAAGAAGCTAACAATGTATAAACGGCTAAAAACATACAATCATGAGAAGTAATGAACCAAAAACAATTCAAAAGATCTGGAAAACAATAAAAGTTACTTCCTCCGTTTCTTATTAGTTGACACACTTCATCTAGGCACACATTTTAAGGTGTGTCAAAAGATGTTAAAAGCCAATAAAACCCCTTACCCATCATATTACAAATCAATTTAAAGGTGGTAAGTGAGAATAAAATGGGATTATACATTAAGAAACTTACCAAAAAGAGACGTGTCAACTAAAAGAACTTTACTTAAAAGGAATGTGTCGACTAAAGAAAACGGAGGAAGTATTACATAAGGGTCACAAATGCAAGTATAATACAGCTTTAACCCTAATCTACAGCAAGCAGCATTTGGTATATCTCAAAATAAAAGGTGTCCAACCAGGACCTTTTCAGATCACACTTTGTTTTTTCACAAAATAAACTGCTCATAGAAATATGATCCCACCAAATGAAAGAAACAATCATCTGCTAAATAGTCTTGAACTAATATCAAGCAGTGGAATAGGTTAAAAAATCCACTCCCAACTGCATTGTTAATTTGCAAGGCTTTCAAGTTATATAAAAAAAAAAGGTTTAAAACATGTAAAAGTAATAGATTTTGATAAAAAATTTTGAATCATACCATTAGACCCAAAGTCTCCAGATGAAGATGTAACAATTTTCTCGGCTAATCTTTCATCAACATCCCCATCTTCCGTGTCCATGTCAACCTGGAGTGCAGAAACTGTCATCAATAGTAACTCTCAACAAGAAGACTTACACAGCCAGTTTGGCAGGTACTAGACAATGATAAATGACGTAATTGTATTGAGTCTATACTCCATCCGTTCATTGAAATTGCAACACTTTTCTTGTTGGAAGTAAAATAATAGTAAAATCACTTTATTTGGATAATGGTTCTCAATATCTCTCTCTTCATCACATTTTTTCTGTTATCATCTCTCTTCTCACATTTAAAACAGTGAATCCCCCCATATTGCAGTTTTAACCATTTAATGAAGTATGAAATTTTGCAAGAAACTTCCGTAGACATTGTCGATGGTTATGCTTCTCCACCACTAAGCGTTTCTTTTCAAGAATGTCCATGTGATAATTAAAATAAATTAAACATTACATACACGGAAGTAGAGTTGCATTACCAGGGACTTCTTTGCAAATATACACAAGTTCATTGTTATTACCATCATATATTACTGCCTATGGTCTACCGAATCGGCCATCAGATTATGACCCTTAAAGATAATACGAAGTATATATTAAAAGACTCGAAAAAAAAAAAAAGTAATTTATATTACCTCTTCTATATTGCTCTCCTTTAAATCATCTCCATGGAATAAAGACTGTCATAAATGTATTACACCCATATCAAGTTAGAACAATCTTGCTAACCATAATTTGAAAAGGCTATAGAAAGGACCATAGATTAAACCTTAGCATCCACTTGTAAGTACATTGATGGAGCTTCTTCCCATTTTGCAGCCATCTTTTCCACATCAACCTGATTAAAGCCGTGAATATTCCTAGCAGTGCAACCCTGAAATTTTTTTACAGATATTTCAAAAAAAAAGTAAAAGTATTCAAGTCAAGAAATGATCTCTCATCTACTACCCCTAAAAAATATGCAATACCCTATAACATTCCAATCATCAAAGACTGCAGGGGATGAGGGGAATAAGAAAGGAAATATTTTTAAATGCCATACAAACAGAGACTTTCTATGATCCTTCTCCCTCACCCCGTCCCACCCCCTTCTTTTTATTCTTTCCATTCAACAGTACCTTAGCTAAAGAACAAGGAGAGAGAAAGACGGAGAAAGAGACAACTTGTGACAGTATAAGAGACAAAGTTTTCACACAAGAGGTATGCATCATCCTCAGTTGTAAGCCATGCTTTAGAGGCAGCACGAGAAGCCTAAAGGCCCTAAACTATGACCAACAATATACATTAACCTCCTAAAGGGAACTCACCGCAGGATCCTTGTATGGTGCTTCCAGCACATAAACTTCATAACCCGATCTCTAAGCAAAAATAAAAAGACAATCATTAGTTAAAGCATAAAGTATCAAGTATCAACTCGGATAGGACGGAGAAATTCAGTTAAAACAGAAATGAAAGCAGTAAAAGGACAGTTAGTGGCTGCAAAGTCACACCAAATAACAAGCTTAAGCCATTAGCATCAATATCAATATAGCAATGAGCATAAAGCAGTATCAACATCTGCTAACCTTTGTT